GAGGGAAGCCAGGTGTCGAATTTATGAGCCTGGCCAGTGAATTTGTCAGGGTCTGGGAGGGAAGGTTTAGGCTTTGCGGATGTTCTTGACCGGAGTAAGTGAATCTCGTCGCGCTGTCGCTGGACTTCAGCTTGCAACTCAGCGATGGCGGACTGAACTTGAAGGGCATCCATTGTAGAGAAGTCGAAAAAAGAAGAGGTTTCGTCGTGTTGTAAAGTGTAGGGTTCTTGCGCACAAGAAAGTGGTAGAAATCGTGAGAATTGAGACGTAAGATCGTGGACCTGAACTTGGACGTGAACGTGAACTTAGACCTGGGATACTTAGCCTCAACTAAGGGTCTTTTGTAATGTGACAGACGTGCTTCAGGTAGAACTCAGAACAATTAACACTCTATTCTTAGGACAAAAGACGAGGAAAGAAGGAGAGCTCGAGAGAGCTGGGAACTAAATACAGGTCGTGCGCGCTAGCGCCTCGCTAAGCGAGCATGTTACATCCAGCCCTCGTGACCATAACCGTCACAATTCCTATCTTAATAATACTATTTTTGTATTATATTCCTCTAATTAAGTTATAGGAATATTAAAAGTATATTCTAACTTATAAGGTTACATTAAGTATAAAATACTTCTAATACTTCTAAAACTTATATAAATTAAATATAACTAAATTAATTAATATTCTATAAATATATTTTTCTCGGATTATTTATACGATTATTATTATACTTATTATATAATTTATAAGTTATTACTCCCTTTTTATAACCTTTAAAGTATAATCGTAGTATTTTATATTTATAAAGTACCTAGGTACCTATATAGAAGTACTAAAACTATAGGAATACTAAACTAAGAGTAGTAGTACCTATATCTAGAATTATATTTAAAATATATATAAAGCGAGTATATATAACCTAAATATATATGCTATATTCGTATATTCTCCCGATACTATTATAATACTTATAGCTAGTAGAACATAAGCTAGTATACCGGGACTATAACGTAGAATACAAGCTAAAAGTATACGAGGTAAGACGTATAGCTACGCTCTAGCTATACCGATAGTTATACTACTACTACTCTTACGCCTATATATAAATTAAATATAAATATCCTAAGTATTTAGGCTATATTCTAGTATTCTTATAATACTATTATAATATCTATAGCTAGCCGGGTATACGCTAGTATATAGTAGGCTAAGAGTAAGATTACGTTCTACTAAGGTACTAAGCTAAGAGTATCTAAGCTTTATATAAGGCTAAAACTACTACTCTCGCGCTTATATCTAGCTAAAATTATATTTAAGAGATATATAGAGTAAGTGTAATTATCCTAAGTATTTAGGCTATATTCTAGTATTCTTAAAATACTATTATAATATCTATAGCTAGTAGAGTATAGTATATATAACGTAGGATATAAGCTAAGAGTACCCGAGCTCCGTATAAGGCGTATAGCTACGCCCTAGCCATACCGAGAGTTATATCTAAATCTATTCCTACTCTCGCGCCTATATTTAGCTAAAATCGTATTTAAAATATATAATCATTAGATATAAATATTCTAAGTATCTAGGCTATATTTTAGTATTCTCTCTATATATACTCTTATAATATTTATAGCTAGTAGAGTATAAGCGAGAAGCGACGTATAATTATAACCGTAGATTTTAGTAGGGTACTAGAGGTTAGTATAGGTATATTACTTCCAGCCTTACTACGTAACTAGCCGCTATTGCGTCTTTTCCTTAGTATTTAACTTATAATAAAATAACTTATTATTATTAA